AAGTATGCTTGGGATCATTGTCCATTTGGAAGACCCATTTGCGACCAAGCTTTAACTTCCTGACTGATGTCTTGAGATGTTGCTTCAATATATCCACATAATTTTCCTCCCTCATGATGCCATCTATTTTGTGAAGTGCACCAGTCCCTCCTGCAGCAAAGCACCCCCACAGCATGATGCTGCCACCCCCGTGCTTCACGGTTGGGATGGTGTTCTTCGGCTTGCAAGCCTTCCCTTTTTTTCCTCCAAACATAACGATGGTAATTATGGCCAAACAGTTCTATTTTTGTTTCATCAGACCAGAGGACATTTATCCAAAAAGTACGATCTTTGTCCCCATGTGCAGTTGCAAACCGTAGTCTGGCTTTTTTATGGCGGTTTTGGAGCAGTGGCTTCTTCCTTGCTGAGCGGCCTTTCAGGTTATGTCGATATAGGAACTAGTTTTACTGTGGATATAGATACTTTTATACCTGTTTCCTCCAGCATCTTCACAAAGTCCTTTGCTGTTGTTCTGGGATTTAAACTTTTTGCACCAAAGTACGTTCATCTCTAGGAGACAGAACACGTCTCCTTCCTGAGCTGTATGACGGCTGCGTGGTCCCATGGTGTTTATACTTGCATACTATTGTTTGTACAGATGAACGTGGTACCTTCAGGCGTTTGGAAATTGCTCCCAAGGATGAACCAGACTTGTGGAGGTCAACCATTTTTTTCCTGAGGTCTTGGCTGATTTCTTTTGATCTTCCCATGATGTCAAGTAAAGAGGCACTGATTTTGAAGGTAGGCCTTGAAATACATCCACAGGTACACCTCCAATTGACTCAAAGGATGTCAACTAGCCTATCAGAAGCTTCTAAAGCCATGACATCATTTTCTGGAATTTTCCAAGCTGTTTAAAGGCACAGTCAACTTAGTGTATGTGAACTTCTGACCCACTGGAATTGTGATACAGTGAATTATAAGTGAAATAATCTGTCTGTAAACAATTGTTGGAAAAATTACTTGTGTCATGCACAAAGTAAATGTCCTAACCGACTTGCCAAAACTATAGTTTGTTAACAAGAAATGTGTGGAGTGGTTGAAAAACGAGTTTTAATGACTCCAACCTAAGTGTATGTAAATTCCGACTTCAACTGTATTACAACAAAGGTCAATTCGGGGACTGTCTGTGTATTTTAATTGTTTTATCAATGTGTATTCGCTTCTGAATCTCAGTCTCTTCAACCCAGCAAGTGAGGTTATGAGCTGTCGTAAGAAGTGACTCTGGAGGCTGGAAAGTCCCGCCTATCAAATGAAGCACAACGCTGGAAATCTATCCGCATCCACATAAACTAGTCCCAGCATTGTTCTTTGACAAACACAGAAGGTTGTATAGTGAATTTAAAAGAAGAAAACAGTGATAGAGGGAGAGAGAGACTGCCAGATCCTTAATGTAGCCAATGGCTACAGCCAAAACATTAAGGAACTGGCAGTCTCTCTCTCTCCTTCTCTCGCTCTGTTTTCTTCTATCGAATCATATGCAGCCTAATATTTAAACAATTATCTTAAGTGGGCAGGGGGAAACACTTGAAATGCACTCATTTGAAATATGTAGTTTGGCTGTTATAAGGTATTATACAAGCCAATGGTCATCTACATGGTATTTATTCAGTGATTTTATTCTTTGTATAAGATATGTTTTTAGTCATTCACAACTAGGATGGGTAACACTTTATTTTAAGGGTCCGTAATAAACCATTTATGAATCGTTACTCCCACATTAATAAACCTTTTACTAATCATTAGGAAAGTATTTTTGCAGTCCCTAATCTAAAGTGTGTGCTATTTATACTTTATAAATGTTTTGAGTGACCAGAGTAATTTCTCACAAAAAGATGGGCATGCCATTGGTAGACATTCCTGCTGTACCTCGTAAAAGAACACAACACAGGATGTTTAAGGAAATACACTCACCGGACAGTTTATTAGGTACACTTAGTACTATTTAGTACCGGGTCGGACCTCCCTTTGCCTCCAGAACAGCATGAATTGTTCAGGGCATTCTATAAGGTGTTGGAAACGTTCCACAGGGATGTTGGTCCATGCTGACGTGATGGCATCACGCAGTTGCTGCAGATTGGACGGTGGTACATTCATGTTGCAAACAGCCCATTTCATCTCATCCCAAAGATGCTCTATTGAGTTGAGGTCTGGGGACAGCGCAGGCCACTCAAGTAAACTGAACTTGCTGTCATGTTCCAGGCGATGTTTTTCCACTCCTTAGTGTTGTTGATCGTATACCCACTGGAGCCTCGATGCCTGTCTGCCTGCTTTATATAGCAAGCCACGGCCACGTGACTCACTGTCTTTCTGTAGAAGCGATACATTTACTTGAACAGGGGTGTACCTAATAAAAGACTGTCCAGTGAGTGTATATACACGTGTGAATAACTAGCTTACCAACATTTACAAATGTGGGAGTAATGATTAATAAATGGTGAGCAAACGGTTTGTAAATGCCTTATAAATGGTTTATTATGGACCCTTAAAATAAAGTGTTACCCTAGGATGTTGCTTGGCCCAGCACAGGCAGTGTGGTCCCCTGGTCTTCTGGTCCCAGTGATGCTAGGCTTAGCAGCACAGACATCTCAGCTGCTACTGCAGGAGTCAAATGTAGTGGAAGTAGGGAGAAAACAGAGAGAGAGACACACACTGACACATGTACTGCCAGTTTATTGATATTTTGGCTCTATATTATATATGTAATAGTAATTAACCCTTAGGATAGGGGGGAACGTGTATGACAGCCAGGCAGTAGAGGTGTGTGGGTAAAATCACTGGGGAAGACAAGACAGAAAAAAAAGCCATATTACAACCTGTGTTCAACCTGGTCTCAGAGCATTTCGTATTATTTTGTATGTAAATCTGAGACACTCCATTTAGTATGATATGTTATGTTTCGTATGGTCTGTAATAATTTGTGGATGTCCATCACCCATTTCATATTATATGTTACGAATTTGCAAAAACGTATGATATGTTACGAATTCTAGCTAGGTGTCTAGGTGGATAACGTAACTAGTTGGCTAACGTTAGCTAAACTAGGAGTTAGGGTTACGGTCAGGATTAAATTTAGGAGTTAGGTTAAAGGGTTAGGGTTAGCTAAAAGGGTTAAGGTTAGGGAAAGGGTTAGCTAACATACCAAGTAGTTGCAAAGTAGCTAAAAAGTAGTAAGTAGTTGAAAAGTAGCTAATTAGCTAAAATGCTAAAGTTGTCCGTGATGAGATTCGAACTCTCAACCTTTGCTTTATACGCCCATCCATCTACTCCGACCCTACTTTGGTTTTTGCTTTAATTAACCATCGGTCTCATGTAACCATACCAAACCTAACATATCATACTAATTTGAGCGTACCGGATTTTAGTTTACAATGTTATGTTTAGTCTATGACACCAGGCTGATGTGTTGTGATAATTGCGTTGTTTGCTCTATAGCCTGTTAGTTCATATGCCTTGCCACCGTGATATATAGGCCTAAAGGCCGAGACAATAAGAAGACTAAATTCAAATTCAGAGAATAAATTCAACCACACAGTTGTTTCATCACAAAAACTGTCTGGTGAAGTCCACAAAGCATTTTGCATGTAACAAACATTTACATGACCTACAGAATGGTGAAGCAAGTTAATGTTTCCGACATTTTTGGACTACTAAACAACCATTGATTTAGAACCACAGAGAGTTACCGCAAGTCGAAAAGAAAACGGGGGGTGCCTCCACTATTCCAGCACCACTTCAACTTCAACATTTAAAAACCTTGTTTTTAAGAGACACTTCCTACCTTTTCCAAATAAAGTATTGTTCATTGTGAAACTTACCTGGTTGTCAGTCATACTTCCTGAAATTGCACTGGGGCACGAAAATAACCGGAGTTTTCTCATATCTGACATAACTGCATGTCTTAGTCTGGCTTGCCTCACACTCATAAATTAGACAGAGCAGCTGTGGGAAGAGAACATGACCACAGACATGCACTTGCTGCAAGTTTGCAACACTGTCCTCAACCATAATAGTGTAGTTAGCAACAGTTCACACAAATGGGTCCGCTTAAACAGCTAACAAGGTGGCAGTCGCACCATCCACAAGTTCCACTAACAGAAACCATTTATAGATTTTTTATCAATTGGAAATTACAATAACTAGTAAAGAAATGAGTTCTCCTAACCAAAATCACCATGGCACAATCGCTGAGTCATATTGTAACACTGAGGTGTGAGTAGGCACCTTTCCCACATGATCTTGAAGCCAGTGGAGGCTGGTGGGAGGAGCTATAGGAGGACATGTGGTTTCCATGTTTGATACCGTTCCATTAATTCCATTCCAGCCATTACAATGAGCCTGACCTCCTATAGCTCCTCCTGCCTCTGCTTGAAGCCCACCCAACACCCTCCTCTGTGGAACTATTCAACAGTGATAAGGTCAGTCAGTGGGTTAACTAACAAGGTCGGAAACCACAGTGTGCAACTGTGTCTTCAGAAGCTCACACCAAGTAGGCGGGGAACAGTCTCACTTGCAAGACTCATGATCCTCCACCCCGAGAGTTGTGTCGGAGAGACATTGGCTGTTGAAAGAGACTAGGAGGGAGACAGAAGAGGGATTTAATCATTTCACAGCTTGACCGTAAGTCAGCAAATGTTGTGAGGTTGCATGGAAAAAAGCACCATGGAAATAAACAGTCCAAAAATAATGACAATCATGTTCAGTTTATTTTTTTTGTTTTCCATTGAATACATACAAATACATAGACAATACACATATACATGTATAAACGCACCCACAAACACACTGAGAAAATATATCTACATAAATGCATACAAGATAATTCTGAGATCCCTCTGCAGCCTGTGTCACCAAAATATGCCTCAAATATGAGGACCAAGGGGTGTGAATCATCTCAAGTGTATGTATCGGAATCCAAGTGACACTAGTCTTTAACGGTGTGAGAACTCAAGGAGTCCTCCTCATAATGAGGGGGCAGCAGTGAGCAGGCACTTGGCATCTCTGGAGAGGAAGTGGCCCCCGGGCCTCCTCTGGCCCCAGGTCTGCTGCAGGGCCTCGCGGTCCAGTTTGTTGAGCCTCTGGGAGCACAGCCGCAGGTCCTGGACCTGTTCTGACAGGCTGTCCAAACTAGAGCTGTCCCAGGGGCCGGCTACCTGGCAACCTGAGAAAGAGAGATGGAACAAATTAAGAGGGACTTAGAGAGAGACAGAGCCAGACTGAGAACCAATAGACTACAATAGGCCTACTGTACCTTGGAGGTTGAGATGGGTCAAAGGTCTCTGGGCATCACGGAGGGCGGAGAGGAGGCTGTGGAGTCCTGCTGAGGTCACCGCTGGGTTACCTGACAGGTCCACAGACACCACGGAGGGACAGACAGGCAGACATCTGGACACACAGAACATACGGGTCTCAATACTGGACAGTTACATAAACCAGAGGTACTGTACAGGGCGGACACTTGGAAAAGGCACAGGCAGCTCAAGGACAAGGGTGACATGAATTGAGAGAAAACACAAACGCACACACACCTGGCGAGGGTGGCCACGCTGTTGTCCGTCAGTCCATTTCCCCCCAGGCTTAGATGGGTCAGGGAGCAGTCATCCTGTGGAGCACACAAAGGACCAATCAGAACCATGTTCTCCATGACTACTCCTCCATTTTCAGCAAGGGACCAATCAAATCCCTGATCTCATGGTGTGCCCTTGACCAGGCAGTTATTACTATGTCTTAGTACCAGACCTGGGTGTGTATTTGATCATTTGTTATTTAAATATTTATTTTCTGTGTATTTTCAAATAAATGTGTCCTGAATCAACTACTTCTATTGGAAGTATTTGAAAGTCAAATTTATTTATTTTTCTTCCTATAAATAGCCTATTTGAAAGCATTTTCAAATACTATTTTCAAATAACTGGGTTAAATGCATGGGAGTGTATTTAAGTCAGTGAATTGTATTTTCAAATACATGTCAATACTTCCCAAGTGTATTCCCAAATACGCGTTTTCTAGAAAATAACGCACGACGTGGAAGGTGTGTTCTATGACGCGTTAGCGGAGTGGAACTCACCTTCCACGGAGTTCAATTATTTTTCAGAGAACGCATAGAACCCTTAGTTGATTATCCCTTTTATACCATGGCTATAATTTAACATAATTGCCACTAGAAATGTATTACTTCGCCAGTAGAAATGTGACAACATCCACTGAAGTAGCTAGCAAGTTTACTAGCTAGATAGTTGCAGTAGTTGCCTTGGTAACCAAACCATCATCCTAGCTTGCTATTATGAAAATCGAATTCAACAATGCCAATGTTTTCAATTCGACTTTTGCTTTCAAAAGCAGCTCAAAAATAGAACATGTAAGAATGATAGCCACTGAATTATACTGTGCAATTGTAGGGAAATAATGCACATTATAAACTGTGTGGTTTGAGCCCTGAATGCTTATTGGCTGACAGCCCACAGGGATGACAACAGTTTTTTTTACTCTTCTAATTACGTTGGTAACCAGTTTATAACAGCAATAAGGCACCCCAGGGGTTTGTGATATACAGTGCATTCGGAAAGTATTCAGACCCTTGACTTTTTCCACATTTTGTAATGTTACAGCCTTATTCTAAAATGGATGAAATTGTTCCCCCCCCCCCCCCCCCTCATCAATATACATACACACACACAATACCCCATAATTACAATTTTCAGGTCTCTCCAGAGATGTTCAAATCGGGTTCAAGTCCGGGCCACTCAAGGACATTCAGAGACTTGTCCCGAAGCCACTCCTGCGTTTTCTTGGCTGTGTGCTTAGGGTCGTTGTCCTGTTGGAAGGTGAACCTTCACCCCAGTCTGAGGTCCTGAGCGCTCTGTAGCAGGTTTTCATCAAGGATCTCTCTGTACTTTGCTCCGTTCATCTTTCCCTCTATCCTGACTAGTCTCCCAGTCCCTGCCGCTGAAAAACATCCCCACAGCATGATGCTGCCACCACCATGCTAAACCGTAGGGATGGTGCCAGGTTTCCTTCAGACGTGACGCTTGGCATTCAGGCCAAAGAGTTCAATCTTGGTTTCATCAGACCAGAGAATCTTGTTTCTCATGGTCTGAGAGTCCTTTAGGTGCCTTTTGGCAAACTCCAAGCGGGCTGTCATGTGCCTTTTACTGAGGAGTGGCTTCTGTCTGGCCACTCTACCATAAAGGCCTGATTGGTGGAGTGCTGCAAAGATGGTTGTCCTTCTGGAAGGTTCGCCCATCTCCACAGAGGAACTCTGGAGCTCTGTCAGAGAAGGGCCTCCCTGACCAAGGCCCTTCTCCCCCGATTACTCAGTTTGGCCAGGCGGCCAGCTCTAGGAAGAGTCTTGGTGGGTCCAAACTTCTTCCATTTAAGAATGATGGAGGCCACTGTGTTCTTGGGGACCTTCAATGCTGCAGAAATGTTTTGGTACCCTTCCCCAGATCTGTGCCTCAACACAATTCTGTTTCGGAGCTCTACGGACAATTCCTTTGACCTCTTGGCTTGTTTTTTGCTCTGACATGCACTGTCAACTGTGGGACCTTATATAGACAGGTGTGTGCCTTTCCAAATCGTGTCCAATCAATTGAATTTACCACAGGTAAATCAAGTTGTAGAAACATCTCAAGGATGATCACTGGAAACAGGATGCACCTGAGCTCAATTTCAAGTCTCATAGCAAAGGGTCTGAATACTTTTGTAAATAAGGTATTTCTGTTTTTTTATTTTTAATAAATGTGCAAAAATGTTATGGGTTATTTTGTGTAGATTGTTGAGGAATTGTTTATTTAATCCATTTTAGAATAAGGCTGTAAAGTCAAGGGGTCTGAATACTTTCCGAATGCACTGTATGGCCAATATACCACGGCTAAGGTATGTGTCCAGGCACTAAGAACAACCCTTAGTCATGGTATATTGGCCATATACCACACCTCCTCAGGCCTTATTGCTATTTGTCTTTTCAAATAAACAATATCTGAATACTTACTTTGAAATGTACAGTATGTGAAAGTAATTGAGATAATTAAAATAGTATTTGAACCCAGGTCTGCTTAGTACCAGGCAGTTAGTACTATGTCACCCAATATATCAGTGTTGAGTTCTCAGCTTGGCATCCAGCTTAAACATTAGTCGACATCAAACCTTCTTACAGGCGGACCATCACTACATTTGTTCCTCTATTGAAGACAATCTTGCCATAGCTCCCCATTAAGTCAAATGCTATATACACTTTAAGATACAATTATGATACAACCATTGTTTCTTTCTTAACATATCAGCACATGCTTCTTGGCCAGATAGCAGATAAGTGTGAATGACATGCTTGCTTTTCAACCTGTGAAAAGTTTTTTTTCACATGCTTGTAGCTGCGCCTGTGGTACAGGTAACTGCCAAAATAAAGGAAACACCAACAAAGGGAGTTGGGCCACCACGAGCAGCCAAAACAGCTTCAATGCGCCTTGGCATAGATTCTACAAGTGTCTGGAACTCTATTGGAGAAATTAGTTAGCATTTTCTACCTCTCGTTCGTTGGGCATTCCTATAGGGGAAATGAATGGGGAAAATAAAGGTGGTTTTGGGAGATATTACGAAAATAAGGTCTGAGGTTAACTCAGGCTTAGGAGATCTTATACGCTTTGTTCAATAAGAGCCTTTATGTGCTCAAAATAAGTCCGTTGCTAACAAGTCGCTAACTGTCAGAGAAATGGAACTATAACATTAGTCGCAACATTTTCACATCACTACGGCGACCACGCAAACTAGTCTACACTACATTACGCCAAAAGCTAGTTGGTTTAGTTAGCTTCCTGCTTACCAGTGCAAACAAAAATGCAAGGATGGTATATTGTTTTGCTCCAGGCTGCAACCATATCATTTCAGTGGGAAGGTGCTCGTTTTATCGGTTGTCTAACGATGTTGTCCCGAGGAGACTTTGGGTCCGTCTAATAAGTAACTAAGTCTGTTAGCTAGATGTCAAAGGCATGTGACCTGAGGGTTTTTATTTTTTACATGTTAGCGCAGATTTGAGCTTTTTACAAAATTCACAAAAAAGTGATGTTAGCTGATGAGATCTCATAGAACAAAATGTATAAGATCTCATAAGCCTGTCTGTGTTTACCACAGACCTTTTTTTCAGTGTTTATCCCAAAACCCTACAAAAAAAAACATTAATGGTGAAGTTAGCCTACTTTAGTGCCTACAAAAAGACGCCATTACTATTGTTCTCTATTGGGTTGAGATCTGGTGACTGAGACACACAAACACACCCTATAAACCTCCTATGATCCTTTCAGACCCCTCTTTCAAAGTCACTGAGATCTCTTCTAGCCATGGTAGCCAAAATAATGGGCAACTGGGCATTTCTATACTAATTAACTCAGGAACCACACCTGTGTGGAAGCACCTGCTTTCAATATGCTTTGTATCCCTCATTTACTCAAGTGTTTCCTTTATTTTGGCAGTTACCTGTATGGCTTTACTGGCTACAGAGAAACAAGCATTACCAGAAACCTAACCAATTGTTTGGACAAATTCTGATAAAAGCTTTTTATCATTTACCGATTTATTTATTGTAATTGCACAACAGTTTATTTTTTGTGTACCTTCCTGGACAAGTTTACACCCAGTTAAGGCTACTTAGATAATGTGATAGTTTGTGCAGTTCTTTAGCCAAACAATGCTTAATTCATGTCAAGTATTCTATTGATGCAGTATTTGAATGTGTGTGTGTGCTTGTGTGCGTATTTGTGTGTTTGCATGTGCTGTGTACCTGGGACAGGACTGATATCAGGTGTTCTAAAGCAGGGTGGTCAGCGGGTCCACAGCAGATAGCAGACAGATGGAGGTGTGTGAGACAGTGGAGAGGCAGAGTCTTCAGGACCAGCTCAAAGCCCGTAGAGCCCAGAGCATTATGGGACAGATTCACAGACTTCAGGTGCCCTGTACCTGTAGGATGATGAGATGATTCTGATTCTTCTGTAACATTTCAAAAACGACCTCAAACAGATAGCAATGTTCCATTTGGAGTTGTCTCCTTCACCATTTATATGATCTTTAATAATAATAAAATGCCATTTAGCAGACGCTTTTATCCAAAGCGACTTACAGTCATGCATGCATACATTTTACATATGGGTGGTCCTGGGACTCTGGAGTGGCCAATGCTAATATTTATAATATCAGAGTGAAAAGGGTATATTAATGAGCCGGTTTACCTGCCAGAGCTCTGGCCAGTAGGAGGCAGTGTTGCTGCTTACCTGCCAGGGCGCTGGCCAGTAGGATGCGGTGTTGCTGCAGACAGCGGGCTGTGAGGCTGCAGGCCTGCAGGGAGAGGCTGGCCAGTAGGGGGCATGCTGACAGCAGGCAGGACAGGGCCTGGGACAGACCGTCACCCAGCGGGTTCACACTCAGGTCCAATTCCTCCAGACACTAGAGAGAGATGGGAGGGAAGAGAGGAGAGACAACTATTTTGTTTAGCGATCCATCAACACATCCATCCATATGTAGCAAGGCAGACCTTATGTAGCCGCACTACGCCACCCTTTACATATTCATCCTGTTCTCATAGTTTAGATATTAATAATCTACACATTGCTGGACCTATAGGTGAGCAACAATAGTGAACACACACATACTTCATGATTGATTCAAACTTTGGGTCAGTCCATATATTATTCTCAAATAACATGACCTCTGTGCAGAATTGAACAATATTTATCATAAATTACACAGACCACTAGATGACAGCCTCACACGTCAGAGTCAGACATTTTCTAAGCACAAACACCTAGCCTGGCCTTCACACCCACTGCTGCCTGTCACGCTACTGCAGAAAGCCGGAGCTGGGCTGTGACCATCACTCAAAATAGGGAACTGAATCATGGGCCCCTACAAGGCCATATAGGGACACAGCACAGAGAGTCTTACAGGTGAGTATCATAAGTCAGTCCCATAGAATTTGTCTTGGTGGGGTGCATATGCTTCTGAAACAACATTCAGGGATGCAAAAACATTCAAGGATAACAAAAAGGCCTTCTGACATTCATAGCTTCACCTGCTTTCCAGCTGAGAGTATTTCACTAGAAAATAAGATAAACTATTCGTACAAATTACACTAAGTAAATACAAACTAAGTAAATACAAATTAGTCCTACTTATACTGAACAAAAATATAAACACAACATGTGAAGTGTTGGTCCCATGTTTCATGAGCTGAAATAAAAGATCCCAGACATTTTCCATATGCACAAAAAGCTTTTCTCTCAAATGTAGTGCACAAATGTGTTTACGTCCCTGTTAGTGAGCATTTCTCATTTGCCAAGATAATCCATCCACCTGACAGGTGTGGCATATCAAGAAGCAGATTAAACAGCATGATCATTACACACAACCTACAGCACCCGATGTCACAGGAAGGCCAAAAAAATCATCAAGGACATCAACCACCCGAGCCACTCCCTGTTCACCCCGCTATCATCCAGAAGGCGAGGTCAGTACTGGTGCATCAAAGCTGGGACCGAGAGACTGAAAAACAGCTTCTATCTCAAGGCCATCAGACTGTTAAATAGCCATCACTAGCACATTAGAGGCTGCTGCCTATATACATAGATTAGAAATCACTGGCCACTTTAATAAATAGAACACTAGTCACTTTTAATAATGTTTACATATCTTGCATTACTCATCTAATATGTATATACTGTATTCTATACTATTCTACTGTATCAGTCTATGCTGCTCTGACATTGCTCGTCCATTTATTTATTTATATATTCTTCATTCCGTTGCTTTACTTAGATTTGTGTGTATTGGGTATATATGTTGTGAAATTGTTAGATGTTACTTGTTAGATATACTGCGGAGCTAGAAACACAAGCATTTCGCTACAGCCACAATAACATCTGCTAAACACGTGTATGTGACCAATAAAATTTGATTTGATTTTGATTTGACAGATGCACCTTGTGCTGGGGAAAAGGAAAGGCTACTAAAATGTGCAGTTGTCACAACACAATGCCACAGATGTCTCAAGTTGAGGGAACGTGCAATTTGCATGCTGACTGCAGGAATTTCCACCAGAGCTATTGCCAGAGAATTGAATGTTGATTTCTCTACCATAAGCTGCCTCGAATGTCGTTTTAGAGAATTTGGCAGTACGTTCATCCGGCCTCACAACCGCAGAGCACGTGTGGCCACGCCAGGCCAGGACCTCCACATCCGGCTTCTTCACCACCGGGATTGTCTGAGGTCAGCCACCCGGACAGCTGATGAAACTGTAGGTTTGCACAACCGAAGAATTTCTGCACAAACTGTCAGAAACCGTCTCAGGGAAGCTCATCAGGACGTGACTGCAGTTCGGCGTCATAACCGACTTCAGTGGGCAAATGCTCTTCTTCGATGGCCACTGGCACGCTGGAGAAGTGTGCTCTTCACGGATTAATCCTGATTTCAACTTTACCGGGCAGATGGCAGATATCATGACGTTGTGTGGGTGAGCAGTTTGCTGATGTCAACGTTGTGAACAGTGTCCCATGGTGGCGATGGCGGTGGGGTTATGGTATGGGCAGGCATAAGCTACGGACAATGAACACAATTGCCTTATCGATGGCAATTTCAATGCACAGACGTACCGTGACGAGATCCTGAGGCCCATTGTCGTGCCATTCATCCGCCGCCATCACCTCATGTTTCAGCATGATAACGCACGGCCCAATGTCGCAAGGTTCTGTACACAATTCCTGAAAGCTGAAAATGTCCCAGTTTATGGCCTGCATACTCAGACATGTCAACCATTGAGCATGATTGGGATACTCTGGATTTTAAAGGTATCTGTGACCAACAGATGCATATCTGTATTCCCAGTCATGTGAAATCCATAGATTAGGGCCTAATTAATTTATTTCAATTGACTGATTTCCTTATATGAACTTTAACTCAGTAAAATCTTTTAAATTGTTGCATGTTGCGTTTATATTTTTGTTCAGTGTAGTTACCGGGAAAGCAGGTTGAGTCTGCCCTTCCAAGGCGTTCGCTGCCTTCTTAAGCCCCTCCCCCGTGATGTGATTGGAGGACACATCCAGAAGGCGGAGCCGGGGCATGGTGAGAGCAGCGGCGACCAACTCAGGGAAGAGGTCGTCGTGGAGACGGTTGCCAGACAGCTGTAGCTGGGTGAGGCTGGCCTGCAGTTTGAGGGCGCGGAGGAGAGGGGAGAGGGAGGAGGGGGGTAGGCTGAGGCCACACACTGACACTGAGGGACTGCCGTCCTGCACCTCACACAGACGAGCCACACGCTTGTTCTCCTCTAGAGAGACAACACACACACACACACACACGGCATGGATTAACAATGCACTTCAGGAATTCAAATACCAGTAATTTACGGATACACGCTCAAAACTCTTAATTCTATGTGTTATTCGCCAATGAACTGGATGTCGATTAAGGCAGCCGCTCGCACCTCTCTGATTCAGAGACACATTTAGGTTGAATGCATTCAGTTGTGCAACGGACTAGGTTTCCCCTTTCCTTCCCCTTATTCACACATCTCCGCGGCAAGAAATGAACCAGGGTGGTATCAGCTGTTCACATACTCACCCACTGCCAGGCTTTGACAGGCCTTCTTGTAGCGCTCAGGAAGAGGGGGAAGGTCCCACGAACACACCTCAGCCAGGACCTGCAGTTGACATCATCATCATCAGCTTTTTCCTTCTCTAGTTATGTTCACTACATAAACAACTGTAAAGATTACACATTTGTGTTTCTAATATTACAATCCATCACATCACCATTCAAAACTGAGGCAGCACTGTTCAAGATGATCAACACAAGTAGCAGATCTTGCCCTCACACTCCGACCTATGCCAATATCAAGGTAGAAGTTGCACCTACCGACTGATCTAGGCTCAGATTACCCTGTCCTCACTCTTAAGGTTAACCATCAGACTGAGGGATGAAATAAGATCTGATCCTGTGTCAGTGGTTAAAGGTCCAATGCAGAAGTTTTTATCTCAATATCAAATCATTTCTCTGTAACAATTAAGTACCTTACCGTGATTCTTTTTGACCATTTTAATTGAAAACAAACAAAAATAGCTTCTTAGCAAAAAGCAATTTCTCAAGCAAAAATGTTGCTAGGACTAAATGGAAGTGGGTAAGGGAAAAATAGCTGATATTGTCAGAGAGGTTTGGAACTCTTTCTTATTGGTCTGTTAACCAATTTATCGCCTGGTGATGTCACTAGGCATGCCAAAACTCCATCCCACCAAAACAGGCAGAAATTGCAGGCATTCTTTTCAAATAGCTCTTACACTAAAAGTGCATTATCATCATTTTCACAATTATTCCAACCTCAGTGTGGAAATACATATAAAACACAGGAAAACCTAGTTTTTGACCGCACTGAGCGTATGGGTTTGGCCTCACCTCTTCATTGGTGTGGAGAACAGCCAGTAGCAGGTCTTGGGGGGAGAGCAGAGCGCCATCTTTCTGCAGCGAAAGGCGTGGCAGGAGGCCACAGGCCTGGTAGTAGCGCTGGGCAGCCTGCTCACACAGCCACGACACGGTGCACAATCCTACCCACACACAAAGCAGTGTAACACTATCACACACAGGTTCACCACAGCTTTACAACCAACCACAGTGCTACACACACATGTAAACACACAGGACACAACCAGGTTAACACTGACACAGTGGTACACCCAGTTGTTACAACAACAACGTCTTACACAGCACAACAGTTACCACACGCACAACATCAGTGTTATACACCAACACAAGTTTCACAACACACCACACACATGTTCACAACACGACCACACACAGTGTTCACAACACACAGTGTTACACAACACACAGTGTTACCAACACACACACAGTGTTAACACACACACACATGTCACACACATGTTACACACACCAAGTGCTACACCAATACACCAGTGTTACAACCAACACAACAACACGTGTTACAAAGTGCACATGTTCATGTTCACACACACACACATACCACACCAACTTTCACAACACACACACACAGGTTACACACACACACACACACACACACACACACCACACACCACACAGTGTACACACACAGTGTTACACACCACAAGTGTTACACACACACACACACACAGGTTACAGGTTACACTACACACACAGACAGTGTTACACGGACACATGTTACACCACCACACAGTGTACACACACAACAGTTACACAGTCACCCACGTTACACAACCACACACACGTGTTACAACCACACACAGTGTTCACACACACACACACACACATGTTACACACACACACACAGTTACAAACCACACACACCACACACAGTGTTACACACACACACGTGTACACACCGACACAACAGGTTACACAACACACACAGTGTTACACGCACACCACCAACAGTGTTACACACACACTACACATGTTACCACACAGTGTTACACACCACACAGTGTTACACACCACCACACACACAGCATGTTACACACAGCCACACACACAGTGTTACACACACACACACACACAGTGTTACACACACACACTGTTACACACACACCAGTGTTACACACACCATACACACACACACACACAGTGTTACACACACACACACAAGTGTCACACAGCCACACACACACACACACAGTGTTACACGGACCACAATTACACCACACACAGTGTTAAAACACACACACACAGTGTTACACCGCACACACAGGTACACACACACACACAGTGTTACACACCACACAGGTTCACACAACACACAGTGTTACACACACACCACACACACAGTGTTACACACACCACACACAGTGTTACCACACACACACACGTGTTACACACCCACACACACACACACACACACAGTGTTACACACACACACACCACAGTGTTACACACACACACACCACACACAGTGTTACACACACACACACACACCACCACAGTGTTACACACACACAGTGTTACACCACCACACAGCGTGTTACACCACACACACCACACAGTGTTACACACACACACAGTGTTACACACACACACACACACCAGTGTACACACACACACAGTGTTCACCCACACACAGTGTTACACACACACACAACACACACCAGTGTTACACACACGACACACACCACACAGTGTTACACACACGACACACACGCCACACACAGTGTTACCGCACACACAGTGTTACACACACACACACCACACAGTGTTACACACACACACACAGTGTTACACAACACACACACACACACAGTGTACACACACACACACACACACACACACACACAGTGTTACCACCACACACACAGTGTTACACACACACACACACACAGTGTTACACACACACACAGTGTTACCACACACACACAACACACACAGTGTTACACACACACACACACACAGTGTTACACACACACACAGTTACACACACAGTGTTACACACACACACACACACACCACAGTGTTACACACACACACACCAGTGTTACACACACCACACACCCGTGTTACAACAGGTCACACACACAACACACAGTGTTACAACACACGGTTACACACACAGGTTACACACACACCACACACAGTGTTACACACACACACACAGTGTTACACACACACACACACAGTGTCACACCCACAGTTTAACACACACACACACACACACGTGTTACCCCCGACACAACACACACAGTGTTACACACACACCCACACAAGTGTTACCACACACACACATGTTACAACACACACACACGTGTTACAACACACACACAGTGTTACACCCAACACACACACACACACACACATTGTTACACACCACACACAGTGTTACACACACACACACACACACACAGTGTTACACACACACAGGTTACACATTCACACACACACAGTGTTACACACCGCACACAGTGTTTAAAACCACACAGTACACAGTGTTACACGCGCACACACAAACACAGTGTTACACACACACAGTGTTACACAATGTTACACACACACACAGTTACACAGTGTTACACACACACACACAGTGTTACACACACACACACACACACAGTGTTACACACACACAACACACACACACACACAGTGTTACACACACACACACACAGTGTTACACACACACACCAGACAGTGTTACACACACACACAGTGTTACACACACACACCACCAGTGTTACACACACAGTGTTACGACACACACACACACAGTGTTACACACACAGTGTTACACTCCACACACACCCCACAGCGTTCCACACACACACACAGTGTTACACACAGCACCACACGTGTTACAACCACACAGTGTTACACACACAGTGTTAAAACACGCCACACAGTGTTACAGGTTACACCACACAGTGTACACAGTGTTACGCGCACACACAAACACAGTGTTACACACACACAGTGTTACACAATGTTACACACACACACAGACAGTGTTACACACACACACAGTGTTACACACACACACACAGTGTTACAACACACACACACACACAGTGTTACCACACACACACACGTGTTACACACACACACACACAGTGTTACACACACAACACACACAGTGTTACACACACACACAACAGTGTTACACAACACACACAGTGTTACACACACACACACACAGTTACCACACACACACAGTGTTAGACACACACACACACACAGTGTTACACACACAGTGTTACAGACTTCCACACACACACACAGCGTTCCACACACACACACAGTGTTACACGCGCACACAGTGTTACACGCACACAGTGTTACACACACACAGTGTTACACGCGCACACAGTGTTACAGTGTTACACGCACACAGTGTTACACAGTGTTACACGCGCACACACAAACACAGTGTTACACACACACACAGACAGTGTTACACACACAACACAGTGTTACAAAACACACAGTGTTACACACACACAACACACACAGTGTTAGACACACACACAACACACACACAGTGTTACACACACACCAGTTTACAGACTTCCACACACACACCAGCGTCCACACACACACAGTGTTACACCCACACAGTGTTACACGCACACAGTGTTACACACACACAGTGTTACACCGACACCAGGTTACAGTGTTACACCGCACACAGTGTTACAGTGTTACACGCGCACACAGTGTTACACAGTGTTACACACACACACAGTGTTACACACACACGTACACACACCACCAGTGTTACACACACACACACACACACACAGTGTTAAACACACACAGTGTTACACACACACACACACATGTTACACAACACACAGTGTTACACACACACACAACACACACACACAGTGTTACGACAACACACACACAAGTGTTACGCACACACACACACAGTGTTACACACACACACACACACACACACACTGTTACACACACACAGTGTTACACACAACACAACACACACAGTGTTACACACACACACCACCACACACACACACACAGTGTTACACCACACACACACACAGTGTTACACACACACACACAGTGTTACACACACACAGTGTTACACACACACACACACACACACGTGTTTACACAGCGTTCCACACACACACACACACAGCGTTCCACACACACAGTGTTACACCGCACACCACACAGTGTTACACCAACAGTGTTACACACACACACACACACAGTTACACAGTGTACACACACACAACAGACACACACACACACACACACAGTGTTACGTACACACACACACAGTGTACGTACACACACACAGTGTTACGTACACACACAACCAGTGTTACGTACACACACACAGTGTTACGTACACACACACAGTGTTACGTACACACACACAGTGTTACGTACACACACACAGTGTTACGTACACACACACACACAGTGTCACACACACACACAGTGTTACACACACACACACACACCACAGTGTTACACACACACACACACACACAGTGTTACACACACACAGTGTTACACACACACACACACACACACACAGTGTTACACCACACACACCACAGTTTACGCACACACAACACACAGTGTTACACACACACCACACACAGTGTTACACACACACACGGTGTTACACACACACACACACACACACACACAGTGTTACACTCACACACACACACACACACACAGTGTTACACACACACACACACACAGTGTTACACACACACACACAGTGTTACACACACACACAGTGTTACACACACACACAGTGTTACACACACACACAGTGTTACACACACACACAGTGTTACACACACACATAGTGTTCCACACACACACACACACACACACACACAGTGTTCCACACACAGTGTTACAGCGTTCCACACACACACAGTGTTACACGCGCACACGCACACAGTGTTACACAGTGTTACACACGCACACAGTGTTACACAGTGTTACACACGCACACAGTGTTACACAGTGTTACACACGCACACAGTGTTACACAGTGTTACACACGCACACAGTGTTACACAGTGTTACACACGCACACAGTGTTACACAGTGTTACACACGCACACAGTGTTACACAGTGTTCCACGCGCACACGCACAGTGTTACACGTGCACACGCACACAGTGTTACAGTGTTACACGCGCACACAGTGTTGCACACGCACACAGTGTTACAGTGTTACACGCGCACACGCACACAGTGTTACAGTGTTACACGCGCACAGTGTTACAGTGTCCCACAGTGTTACACGCGCAGTGTTACACAGTGTCCCACAGTGTTCCACACGCACACAGTGTCCCACAGTGTTCCACGCGCACACACACACAGTGTCCCACAGTGTTCCACGCGCACACACACACACAGTGTCCCACAGTGTTCCACGCGCGCACACGCACAGTGTCCCACAGTGTTCCACGCGCGCACACGCACAGTGTCCCACAGTGTTCCACACGTGCACACAGTGTCCCACAGTGTTCCACGCACGCACACAGTGTTCCACACGCGCGCACACAGTGTCCCACAGTGTTCCCCGCGCGCACACAGTGTCCCACAGTGTTCCCCGCGCGCACACAGTGTCCCACAGTGTTCCACGCGCGCTCACAGTGTCCCACAGTGTTCCACGCACGCCCACAGTGTCCCACAGTGTTCCACGCGCACACACAGTGTCCCACAGTGTTCCACGCGCGCACAGTGTCCCACGCGCGCACAGTGTCCCACAGTGTCCCACGCGCGCACAGTGTCCCACGCGCGCACAGGTCCACAGTGTCCCACGCGCGCACAGTGTCACAGTGTTCCACGCGCGCACAGTGTCACAGTGTTCCACGCGCGCACAGTGTCACAGTGTTCCACGCGCGCACAGTGTCACAGTGTTCCACGCGCACACAGTGTTCCACGCGCACACAGTGTCACAGTGTTCCACACGCACACAGTGTCACAGTGTTCCACGCGCACAGTGTCACACAGTGTTCCACGCGCACAGTGTCACACAGTGTTCCACGCGCACACAGTGTCACACAGTGTTCCACGCGCACACAGTGTCACACAGTGTTCCACGCGCACACAGTGTCACACAGTGTTCCACGCGCACACAGTGTCACACAGTGTTCCACGCGCACACAGTGTCACACAGTGTTCCACGCGCACACAGTGTCACACAGTGTTCCACGCGCACACAGTGTCACACAGTGTTCCACGCGCACACAGTGTTACACAGTGTTCCACGCGCACACAGTGTTACACAGTGTTCCACGCGCACACACACACACACAGTGTTCCACGCGCACACACACACACAGTGTTCCACACACACAGCGCTACACAGTGTTCCACACACACAGCGCTACACAACACACACACACACACACAGTGTTATGTACACAACACACACACAGTAGTAATAATAATAATATAATAATAATAATATACCATTTAGCAGATGCTTTTATCCAAAGCGACTTACAGTCATGCGTGCATAAATTTTTGTGTATGGGTGGTCCCGGGGATCGAACCCACTACCCTGGCGTTACAAGCGCCGTGCTCTACCAGCTGAGCTACAGAGGACCACAGTGTTACGTACACACACACACACACACAGTGTTACACACACACACACACAGTGTTACGTACACACACACACACACACACAGTGTTACGTACACACACACACACACACACAGTGTTACGTACACACACACACACACAGTGTTACGTACACACACACACACAGTGTTACGTACACACACACACACAGTGGTTACGTACACACCACACACAGTGTTACGCCCACACACACCAGTGTTACGCACCACACACACACACAGTGTTACGCACCACACACACACACAGTGTTACAATACACACAGTTCACAACACACACAGTGTTACGTACACACACACACACACACACAGTGTTACGTACACACACACACAGTGTTACACACACACACAGTGTTACACACACACACACAGTTACCACACACACACACACACACACCACACACACACAGTGTTACACACACACACACACAGTGTTACACCACACACACACACACACACAGTGTTACACACACACACACACACACAGTGTTACACACACACACACACACACACACACCCTTAGTATAGAAGCTGAATCTCAAGAAAGGCCAAAAGGGCCCCCCAAGTGCGGCAGGTAGCCTAGCGGTGAAGAGTGTTGGGTCAGTAACGAAAGGTCGCTGGTTCGAATCACTGAGCCGATTAGGTGAAAAATCTGTCTGTGCCCTTGAGCAAGGCACTTAAGCCTAATTGCTACTGTAAGTTGCTCTGGATAAGAGCGTCTACTAAATTATGTAAATGGCTAGCATCTCACTTTACATGCAGGAAGACACAAATACACCAACCTATGTGGTACTGGGATCAGAAACACGTTATCTTGAACCCTGACCCGCATTCTGATTGGTGCAGGCATTGGCGCAGTCACTGTCTGGTGTGGGACCTGAGGTTGAGAGGCAGAGAAATGAAATTTAGAAACCATAAAAATAGAACTACTAGAACAAAATCCCCATTCAAGTCAATGATCTGTGATGGGTGAACCAGTCTAGTAAAATCTATTTCTACGTTACAAACCATGAACTACCCAGTCGTTCACATACACAGACTAGCGAATGATGCAAAATACAATAGGGCTCAGATTGACATTGATGGAAAATTCCAATTGGGTGTCATCACTCTAGTTTGTTCACCTCTTTTGGACCTTCATCTCCATACTGCCATCCCTGACAATCCAAAACAGAATCTTGATGTATGATGTTCCGGTAATAGCTTAATATGTCCTGCTACAGTAGTGATGTGACTTGACTCTGTCTCTCGCACAGATCTGGGTTCAAATACTATGTGAAATCATTTCAAATACATTAGCTGTGCTTGATGGAGCTTGCTTGTTACAATGGAACCAATAGAAAAGGTCCAAAAGTGCAAACATGCCCACCTGGCACTCCAGGCAGACTAAAGCAAACGCTCAAGGTTTTTGAAAGATTTGAAATAGTATTTGAACCCAGGTTGGATCTCACTTGATCCCTCTGACCTGCTGAGTGCTGTAGTGTGTCTGAGGCGGCGTGGAAGCTGGAGGGTCGTCGTCGTCAGTTACAGTGGGGCTCTGTTGCTTGCTGACCTCTCGGCGGCCCAGCATGACCATGCCTGAGAGCTGAGTCATCTTCACCTGCCGCGGCTTGCAGGAGAAAGAGGTCTTCCTCAGAGAGAGACCTCTACTGGAGGAGGTCGACACTGCAGGACAAGCACACAAAAAATACACAGGTTGTGATTCCACTGGCTAATACTGCCCCTTATAGTTCATAGATAGTAACATTTAACCATATTGACTGATTTTCAAGTGCCATTCAAGACACCTAAGGATCTTGGCAAGCAAAATAGAATCTTCAAATCAAATCAAATTTAATTGGTCACATGCGCCGAATACAACAGGTGCAGACATTACAGTGAAATGCTTACTTACAGCCCTTAACCAACAGTGCATTTATTTTTAACAAAGAAAGTAAAAATAAAACAACAACAAAAAAAGTGTTGAGAAAAAAAGAGCAGAAGTAAAATAAAATAACAGTAGGGAGGCTATATATACACAGGGGGGTACCGGTGCAGAGTCAATGTGCGGGGGCACCGGCTAGTTGAATCTTAAGTCATTAAAGAGGAGAAGACAAAGAAGAGGAGAGATGAGGGAGAGAGCAGGAGAGATCGAAAGAGGCGGATGGAGAGAGAGAGAGAGAGAGAGGAGAGAGAGAAGGAGAGAGGAGAAGACGAGAAACGTGAAGAGAGAGAAGAGAGAGAGAGAGAGAGAGAGAAGAGATAGAGAGGAGAGAGAGAGAGAGAGAGAGAGAGAGAGAGAGGAGAGAGAGAGAGATGTATGAGCAGAGCGAAAGAGAGATGAAATTAAAGGGTGGAAATGCTTGTGCTCCTCTGTTAGCTTCCTTATGGGTTCTACATTGAAGTATAGAGATGGGGCTGTGTGTCATCAGTGCAGCAGCTACACACCTCTGCTAGCCATTTCAGTCGTGGTTGCGTGACGGTTCTGAATCCTGGCCCCTGACGACATCATATTCAAGTCCCGCCTTCCATTCTGCTCCTCCCCCACTCTCCTCTTCTTCTTTGGCTGAACATTGCCCATGTCATCCTCCAGCCAATCGTCTATCAGATATTCCTCCTCAGGAACAAGCGCTGGCCTGCTATTGGACGACACCGCCGGTGTGCTGCTGAACTGCGGCTGCGATAGGTTCTGGGAGAGAAGGCGGGTCTTGGCACTGCCTAGGCCGCGAATGGCACTGTGGTACTCCTCCCTGCCGAAGACAGAGGGCACCGCAGACTCTCTCGCTTCAGGAACAGAAGAGCTTGTTTCCTGGCTGGGGGGAACTTCCTGTGGAGCGGGGGCTGCTGGGAAACGTTGGCGTGTTCGGACAGGGCGCAGAGGGCTGACCACGCCATCCAAGTCACTGTGGTCGGAGGAGCTGCTGTCATCCTGAGGAAGACAGATTATTTGTCAATAGGAACAGTGTAAATCTGCATCACAACAACTAACTTTAGGATTGCTGTTCTTGACTGAGATTCTATGACAGTCGAAAAGTGCTGGGTCATTGAGAATTAGTTTGAAACCTATAACAGACATCTAATTTCCTATGTTGTAATTCAACTAGTACCCCAAAGAGGATGGAGGCCTCTGTCCCTCTGTGTCGTTGTGGGGGCCCCGCTGTGCCGTTAGAGTGCCTCCGTGTGGGGCTAGGTGGTACAGCGCTCTCCTGGGGGCTCCTGGTTCTGGGCAGGCTGTTGGTGGCCGAATGGCGCCCTCCGGTGGGGATCAGAGGCTCTGAGTTCTCTGCATCAAACAGCTGACTGTCCTGCAGAGCGTCAAATGGCTTGGGGTGCGCGGGAGCAGTGGGGACTTTGGTACAGAGAGTGTAGAAACGTTAACTGCACAGTAGAATAGTGAACGTCCTTACAGCAACAGGAATGTATATTGTGGGAGATGCAGTATTTTCTGGACATGTATTAAGCTGATTTTAGGCCTCACAAACAGTGCGCGTGTGAGATGATGAATCCACATGTACTGAGTACATACAACACTAAAACTAAATGTGACACATTGAATATACAACAGGATTGGGGTCCATTTCATTTTAATTTCTAGTCAATTCAGGAAGTACACTGAAATTAAATTATCTTTAACGCTTTAAAATGAGGAACATTTTGAATTTGGTTTACTTTCTGAATTGACTGGAATTTAAATGGAATTGACCCCAACCCTGATATAAAGGCCTCATAACCACCCAGTTTCATTATAAACCACTCTACACAGTTCTAGCCTTCTTGTATTGTGTAGGCCTACACCCACCAGGGGAAGTATGTAGGCCTCACCTAACCCTGCTAGGGCGCTCCTCAGCAGGTCCTCTGTGCTGGACAGCTCCTGTCTGGCCTCCCGGTCCAGCTCTCTTCTGTACATCCTCTGCCACAGACGCAGGCTGTCCAGGGGTGTCTCACCCTGAGGGGGACACGCACATACATGAGCTACTTGCACAAACACTCACAGGTGCACACACAAACAGATACACACACCAAACAAACAAACACACACACACACATGCACCGTCCTCCAAAACACACACACACAACACCATATTGTCCTCACCTTGGCGTTGCGGACATTGACCGAGGCCCCCCTCTCCACCAGTAATCTGGCCGCTTGGAAGTGTCCACAGTTGAGGGCGTCGTGCAGCGGGGTGACCCCCTCACACAGAGACCCCCCCCCATCGTTAATGTTAGCCCCCCTCTCAAGCAACAGAGCCACCACGTCTGAGAGAGAGAGAGAGAGAGAGAGAGAGAACAGAGAGGGAAAGAGAGAACAGAGAGGAAGAGAAAGAACAGAGAGAGAGAGAAGCAGATTTGGGTTAAAATGCTGATTAAGTCTGATCTGGCTCCAACTCCACTGAGGGCAAGTGTATTTTTCTGTTACCTGTGTGTCCGTGGTTGCTGGCCTCATGGAGAGGAGTCCAGCCACAGTAGTCCCTGGGGTTGACAGGATGACCCTGAGAGACAGGCACACTGGCTGAATACTACCATAGACAATACTGGCCGAATACTACCATAGACAGTACTGGCCGAATACTACCATAGACAGTACTGGCCGAATACTACCATAGACAGTACTGGCCGAATACTACCATAGACAGTACTGGCCGAATACTACCATAGACAGTACTGGCCGAATACTACCATAGACAGTACTGCCGAATACTACCATAGACAGTACTGGCCGAATACTACCATAGACAGTACTGGCCGAATACTACCATAGACAGTACTGGCCGAATACTACCATAGACAGTACTGGCCGAATACTACCATAGACAGTACTGGCCGAATACTACCATAGACAGTACTGGCCGAATACTACCATAGACAGTACTGGCCGAATACTACCATAGACAGTACTGGCCGAATACTACCATAGGAAACAGTCTGGCCGAATACTACCATAGACAGTACTGGCCCGAATACTACCATAGACAGTACTGGGCCGAATACTACCATAGACAGTACTGGCCGAATACTACCATAGACAGTACTGGCCGAATACTACTATAGACAGTACTGGCCGAATACTACCATAGACAGTACTGGCCGAATACTACCATAGACAGTACTGGCCGAATACTACCATAGACAGTACTGGCCGAATACTACTATAGACAGTACTGGCCGAATACTACCATAGACAGTACTGGCTGAATACTACTATAGACAGTACTGGCTGAATACTACTATAGACAGTACTGGCTGAATACTACCATAGACAGTACTGGCTGAATACTACTATAGACAGTACTGGCTGAATACTACTATAGACAGTACTGGCCGAATACTACTATAGACAGTACCATAGTCACAGAGAAGTAGTAGGCGTATAAACCCAGTTCCACTCACCTGCTCCACCAGGTACTGGACCTGCTTCAGGTTCCCGTCTATACAGGCTCTGTGGAGAGACGTCTCCCCCTTCTCATTCCTCTTGTTCCACTGAATACAGACAGACAGAGTCAGACAGACATGAGTCTCTGCTTCTTTCAGTAACTTCAATGCAGACTGCTTACACAAGTCAAAGAATAGAAGAAGAATCCCAGACAAATCAAAAGCAAAGACATCATTGACAAATGTGGCACTTACCCGACCCGGCTTTCTCCTGCCGCTACTGACCATCTTGTCATATTCCTCTACATCATCGTCTACAGAGAGAGAAAGACACTGAAAATTAGCCGGACTAAAATTATCTGCCAAAGCAGTGCCAATTTTCCTTACTTTATTCAGCAACATCCTGTATGCTAAACTAAATAACCTGATAGCTCAAACTGAGGTAAAAGGTGCTTATTCTATCATATAACTAAGGTACAGATTCCCGCAGTGGACAAACATAGCTGTGGAGACCGTAGTCTCACTCACCAGAGTCTGAGAGCTGGATATCGCTATCCTCCATGGGTTCACTGTTCTCCATCTCCTCGTCCTCCTCCCCCTCGCTCTCCCCCTCAGGACTCCAGCCCTCGGTGGCACACAGCTCCTCTAGCCTGGCCTGCGTGTCATCAGTCTGCGACGAGCCCCTGCGGCTCTGGGCACCCAGCCACGTCTTCAGCACTCGCCTCTGATGAAGAGAGCGAAAGAAGGAAGGAGAGAGAGAGACCAAGAAAGAAAGAGAGAGAGAGAATAAATAAATGAAAATGGAAAATAAAAAAAGCTAGTGTAAATAACATGCGGTTTCTGCTGTCTGTAGAACAAAATATTTTATCTATACAGGCCTAGCGCTTTTCATTTCACTGAAAAAAAACACTTAGCATATTTCTATGGTGAGCCCAGTCAGAGTGGACCACTACAACCTACAGTACCTGTAGTTTGAGTTGGCCAGCCCTCTCTGCACAGCGCAGGGCAGAGTCGTAGCTACAGTCCACATCCTCCATGGTCCTCCCACTCTCCTCCTGGGCTGCTGCGATGTTCAGCCACGTGTTACACTCCTGACACACACACACAAAAAAATGATGTGAGCATGGATTAAAAGAAGCACAGCCAATGCTGATAAGACAGTATGCACCAAAGGAAACCTTTCTATATGACAAGACTAAGAAATCCAACCCCATAGTGTTCAGCCACAGGTAAACCCAGGCAGGTCATACCTCTTTGGGGTTGCCCTGTCTGAGGGCCAACTCCTGTCTGTAATGCTCCACAGCCTTGTCATGCTGCCTGAGGTCTGTGTAGGTGGCAGCCAGGGACACGTGAATGACAGCCAGCTCCCGAGCAGGCTTCCCCAACGCCTCTGCACTGGACAGCTACACAACAGACAAGTGTCATGTCATTGGTCAAGATAGGTCAAGATTATACAATAAATACATGGATTGGACATACAGCTCATGAAACACAAGACTGACAGGTATAGATAGCGTGGGAGGGGGGGGGATAGGGAACGGTTGGATGGACGTGTACTTATCCAGATAAGTGATTTAAATAGTTAAATGGAGGCAACTGCCCCTTCATTTGGTGAAATAATCTACTTTAATAAACAGGAAAGAGAGGAAGTGAAAAGGGACACAGGAAGTGGTGACGGTGTGGGGCTACGTGAGTGTGATGTTTTCACCTGCGTACGGTAGGCGTCCAGGGCTTTGCTGTAGCATCCAACCTTACAGTAGAGGTCCCCCAGCTGCTCCGCCAGCCCCACAGCCTGCTGGGAACGCCCCTTGCCGCCCAGCTCTCCCGCTGCTTCCTCCAGCTGACTGCCCCGAATCGCTACGGCAAACACACACAGAGAGAGAGATCAAAGTTGCTGCCAGAGTAGGAACATTTCCCCCAGACAGACAGAAAGCCCAGTCCTGGTTGACATGTGTGGCCCAGCCCCTCTCTCTCCATCTCTGTGGTTTTAAGAGTACCAAACAAACAAGCCTCTCTCTCTCACCTTGTTTGAAGGCCTTCTTCACTGCCTCCCTGTCCACAGCCTGCTGGGAGCCCAGAGAGAAGGCCTTCTTCAGGGAACGCCTGGCTGCCACAAAGTCCCCCAGAGACAGCTGCACCTACAAACACACAATGTACATAGAGACACATGTAACAGAGCTGATTGAGTGACCACGCTCACATGATCACTCAAGAAACCCTGCTTAAGACCTGAAGAGTTGCATTGCGAGTCAATACCCAGGCTTTTAATGGGCAGGAGGAGACCCAGGTTCGAACTCTGTCACATGCACAGACAAATGCACACACACACTAGCTTATACTGTTAATGGGAAGTTTGTTATAAATATGCCATTTAGCAGACGCTTTTATCCAAAGCGACTTACAGTACATTTTTAGGTAAGGGTAGTCCCGGGGATCGAACGCACTACCCTGGCGTTACAAGCGCCATGCTCTACCAATTGAGCTACAGAGGACCACATAATATAACATAAAACTGTAATGCTTTATAACTGACTGAATTAGTGTGTTCATTTAAAAAATCTAACACCATGAGAATTTCCACTCCTCACCTTGCCAATGGAGTGGAAGCACTCGCTCTCGCTGAACTTGTCTTTGATCTTGCGGGCACACTCCTTGGCCTGCTCCAGACTGCGCATGGCATTGGAGTGGTGCCCGTTGCGGAAGTAGATGTTGCCCAGGTTGAAGTTGGCACGGTACAGATCCTCCAGGAGCTGGTTCTTCCTATAGAGACAAGGGAGGGGGACACCAACTCACTTCATGGTAAGATATTAGGAAAGGTATTATCTACTGTACAAGGTTGCCATGGATTGAACCTTACTCTAGGTCCTAGTTCAAAGTGTAATAGACCTAGCTATATTATTACAGAGTGGCATTGTATTGCGCTGTATTTCATGTTCTGCCTGCTATTAAATGTGTGGCACTGCATTGCATGTGTATCTGTAGTCTAGCCGATGGCTTTGAACAGCAAGCGTTGGTGTTATGGTGTGCTGACAGTGTTCCCATTGGCATACCAGTGCCTGTATCCACAAAACGTCTCAGTGAAGGAGTGCTGATCTAGGATCAGAATACCACCTGTCCATATAATCTTATAAATTATGATATGAAAGGCCAAACTGATCCATCGTGGATACGGGCCCAGGTTGACGTGAGCTCTTACTCTGCAATGTAGACGCTGAGGCGGATGTATTCACTGCATTGCTTGGGCTCCCCCAGGTGGTCACACACCAGACCAAGGTTGAGGTACAGGCGAGCCCTCATCTCACTCAGCTCCCGAGCAGCCACTGTCCCTGAGGGGGAGAGGAGATGAAGCAATGTACAGGAGGAGGTGAAAGATGGAAAATCCTATTGCTTACCTCATGAATAGACCCAGGTTTTTTTCCTGATCAGATCAAGTGGTCAGGAAAAACTCTGGGCCCCACATTTGCCCAAAAAGTGACTTTTCTGTTCACACATTTATTTGCCTCACTTGGATTCATATATAAAAGCCGACCGACAAACATACGTAGACAAACATACACACACGTCTTACTATACTTGTGAGGACTTTTTGGGGACCAACAATTGATTACCATTCAACATCATATTTTCCCTAACCCTAGCATTTTTACAAGTGAGGACCGGCAAAATGTCCTCACTTCTCAGAACTTTTGTTGGTTTACTATTCTTGTGGTACTCACAAGTATAGTAAAACGTGTACACATACCTTCCAGTTCGTTGTCCACAATAGCCATGCTCTTCCTAAAGGCATCTTCCGCCTGCTTCAAGCTGTCCCTCGATTGGTCAGACTCGTAGCGGAATAGGAAGGTTCTTCCAATGGTGGCGAGTGCCCTTTGTTCCTCTGCATGATCATTGACGGAGCGAGCCAGATCCAGATGACATCTCTGGTGCTGAACAAAAGACACACTCTTAATTAATCTACTCTGCTTATGTATGATTTGCAACAGGTAAATTGTTAAGAATACTCTTGTAATAAACAGGTGGTTAGTACAGAATCTGATTGTATTCAAAATGTTGATTGTTCTTGTTGTGCCTTTCAGGCTGCATAGTTAGTCCCCAAAACATTTTTCAAAAGTGTAGCACAAGCCCAATCTGAAGTTCCAGTCCTGCAGACAGTTGGCATCTCGAGTAATGTGCCCATTAGAAACAAAAGCAGGTAGAGGATCAGAGAGAAAAGCTTGAGCTGTTCACTCACCTTCAAAGCCGCCTCAATGTTCCCCATCTCTGCATAACACTCCCCAATCTTACGATTGGCCACTGCACGTCCAATGACATCATGCATTGCTGTGGAAATTTGCAGTTCCTGCCGATGTTCCTCAATGGCAGCTCCATAATCACCTGATAGGAAACAAAATGTGCAGAATCGTAGCGATGAATCAAGAATAGATATGACGATTAAATGATTGCACATGAAACCCAGACAAAAAAAAGTACATTACTTGGGGGGTTTTCACAAAATGTAATCCATAGAATAGTCCTTTGGAGGAAGGATTGTTGACATTTATATCTAAAAGCATAATTGTGAAATAATTACTCAAAATTGCTAAATTTATGACATTTTGGCCTTAACCAGCCCTTCTTTAAGACTCATGCTTCATCTGTACATTTACATTTACGTCATTTAGCAGACGCTCTTATCCAGAGCGACTTACAAATTGGTGCATTCACCCTATAGCCAGTGGGATAACCACTTTACAAATTATTATTTTTTATTATTATTTATTTTTTTATTTTTTTTGGGGGGGGTAGAAGGATTACTTTATCCTATCCCAGGTATTCCTTAAAGAGGTGGGGTTTCAAATGTCTCCGGAAGGTGGTGAGTGACTCCGCTGTCCTGGCGTCGTGAGGGAGCTTGTTCCACCATTGGGGTGCCAGAGCAGCGAACAGTTTTGACTGGGCTGAGCGGGAACTATGCTTCCGCAGAGGAAGGGGAGCCAGCAGGCCAGAGGTGGATGAACGCAGTGCCCTCGTTTGGGTGTAGGGACTGATCAGAGCCTGAAGGTACGGAGGTGCCGTTCCCCTCACGGCTCCATAGGCAAGCACCATGGTCTTGTAACAGATGCGAGCTTCAACTGGAAGCCAGTGGAGTGTGCGGAGGAGCGGGGTGACGTGAGAGAACTTGGGAAGGTTGAACACCAGACGGGCTGCGTCATTCTGGATGAGTTGTAGGGGTTTAATGGCACAGGCAGGGAGCCCAGCCAACAGCGAGTTGCAGTAATCCAGACGGGAGATGACAAGTGCCTGGATTAGGACCTGTGCCGCTTCCTGTGTAAGGCAGGGTCGTACTCTCCGAATGTTGTAGAGCATGAACCTGCAGGATCGGGTCACCGCCTTGATGTTGGCGGAGAACGACAGGGTGTTGTCCAGGGTCACGCCAAGGCTCTTCGCACTCTGGGAGGAGGACACAACGGAGTTGTCAACCGTGATGGCGAGATCATGGAACGGGCAGTCCTTCCCCGGGAGGAAGAGCAGCTCCGTCTTGCCAAGGTTCAGCTTGAGGTGGTGATCCGTCATCCATACTGATATGTCTGCCAGACATGCAGAGATGCGATTCGCCACCTGGTTATCAGAAGGGGGACTGCTAGCTACAATGCAAAAATTGATGTCATATGAAGCTTTACCGCTTGCTCTGTAATATGAGTAGTATTTTGATTTCAATCAAATAAACATAAATGTCTGAATATTGAAAAATATAAACATGAATATTGAAATATAAAATTTTTGATTAATAGGCACATTGTTCAATATATTATTGAACATAATACTCTACGGCATATCAAAGTTCCAGAGTGGGATCACCAACAGACCATCTTGACTCCATTTTCACATTCACTCTGTTGGTAATGCTTACAAATTGGATCATAACTCTAAAAGTAGCAGAAATCCCACTCAGGAACTTTGATATGCCCTTAAGAGTATATTATGTTCAACATTATATACAAAAATATTCAGAATCTAAAATTTTATATTTTCAATATTCATGTTTATATTTTTCAATATTCATAAATTAATGTAAAAAAGTTATTGAAGTCAAAATACTATCATATTACAGAGTGAGTGGTACATTTTCATTTGAAACCAATGTTTGCTTCGTATCACCTAAAGATTAAACACTATGGAGTCTTAAAGGAGGCCTGGATAAGGCCAAAATGTCATAAATATGCCAACTTTGATAAAAGCATAAATGAGAAATAATTTAAATACAAATGTCAAATATGTCAACAATCCTTCCTCCAAAGGACTATTCTATGGATTCGTGAAAATACCAAAAGTCATGGTATTTTTATGTCTGTGTTTCATAAAGAATATTAGATATGACTAAATTGACACTTTCTCTATGCAATGAAGTAAAAAGATGATCACATTACCATTTCTTGACAACACCTCTCCCAGTTGATTGCACAGACTGGCCTCTTCTCTCAGATTATTATTGCTCTGAGCTTTGTTCTTAGCTTTCTGTAGTTCTATGGGGAAAAAATAGGAAAATAAATTGTGTGTGAGCGTATGTACAAAGTCCACAAATGCCAATTGCCTGAATGCCTTGGTATGAGGTATGTTTGGTCAACAATAGTCTCGCGTTGCCATACCTTCAAAATCACGTCAACAACAACAGCAACCTGGCAATCAAGATATATATAAAAACGCAAACGCAATGCAGGTTTTGCCAGCTATTACTCATCGTTACATGATCGGAGTAAAGGTGAGCAACTTACGTTTTATCTCCCGGGCAGTGTTCATCTGGTCCCGTCTGAAAGCGTACGTTAGGCAGAACTGACAAAATATATCTTAGATCTGCATTGCAAGCTAGCTAGCTAGCTATCATTGACTAAGTAAGGTACTAACGTTACACGGCTGGCTGGCTTGCTAGCTAAATTAGCTGGCTATCTAGGAGTGATTGTGAAGACACTAACGTCAACTACCGTTTTTATTTTTCTGTCTGTTGTTAGACTTTACTGCCTACCTCATTATACGCTCTCTACACTTATTCTTGATCGTGATCCATAGTTCCTATATAATCCGATGAACGTTAATCTGTTTTTGTAGTTAAAATCATTTGTTATCGTCTCAGTACCTTTCCATAAAGTCCCGCCAATGTTTCTTCTTCTTCTTTGGGATTGGGTTGGCAGATCACATCCAACGTTGCATACACTGCCACCTACTGTACTGGGGTGTGAGGCAAGTCACGGCCTACCTACATTAAATTATCTTCATTATTCCTGTTCCTCTAAGAAAGTGAAAGAGCCCTAGACACCACTTCCCTCCCCCCACTACACCACCCAAACCCCGTCCAGCCTCTCTAACCCTTTCACACAATCTCACCCTATCTACCTCATACAGTTCACAAAATATCAACACATGCTCCACCGTTTCCTCCAATAAACACTCATCATACAGACTTGTTTCATGTCTCCCTATCATCCATAACGTGGCATTCAAACCTGTGTGCCCAAACCGTAGTCTACTCCACACAACTTCCTCTCTCCTATATCCCATACTCCCCACCGCTTCCTTTACTGACCGGTGCAAGCGATAAAATTGCCTCCCCTTACTACTAGCATCCCACTCCCTTTGCCAAAGATCGAGCCCTTTTGCCTGGATCAAGGACTTGACTACCCTGCGGCCCAGTGGGACCTACTCCCTCTCTCCTCACAGCACTCTTAGCCACCACATCGGCTTTCTCATTATCCTCCACACCCACATGGGCGGGAACCCAGCAAAAGCTTACCACCACTCCCATCCTCTCCAATCCCATTAACAGCCCCATCGTCTCCTATCCGACCTGCCCGTCTTCACACTACTCAACACTGCATCCGAATCAGAGCAGATCACCATTCTGAGTGATTTCACCTCCTCCACCCATCTCAAACCTTTAATCGTGGCCATCAACTTGGCCGCAAACACTGACACATAATCAGTTAACCGCTTACATACTCTAACATTGAAATCTGGGATATAGACCCCTGCCCCCACCCTACCACTGACTGGATCCTTTGAACCATCTGTATATATCGTTAAAAACGATTATCTATATACAGTTGAAGTCGGAAGTTTACATACACCTTAGCAAAATACATTTAAACTAAGTTTTTCACAATTCCTGTATTTAATCCTAGTAAAAATGTCCTGTTTTAGGTCAGTTAGGATCACCACTTTATTTTAAGAATGTGAAATGTCAGAATAATAGAAGAGAGAATGATTTATTTCGGCTTTTATTTCTTTCATCACATTCCCAGTGGGTCAGAAGTTTACATACACTCAATTAGTATTTGGTAGCATTGCCTTTAAATTGTTTAACTTGGGTCAAACATTTCGGGTAGCCTTCCACAAGCTTCCCACAATAAGTTGGGTGAATTTTGGCCAATTCCTCCTGACAGAGATGGTGTAACGGAGTCAGGTTTGTAGGCCTCCTTGCTCGCACACGCTTTTTAAGTTCTGCCCACAAATGTTCTATAGGATTGAGGTCAGGGCTTTGTGATGGCCACTCCAATACCTAGACTTTGTTGTCCTTAAGCAATTTTTCCACAACTTCGGAGTATGCTTGGGGTCATTGTCCATTTTGAAGACCCATTTGCGACCAAACTTTAACTTCCTGACTGATGTCTTGAGATGTTGTCAATATATCCACATAATTTTCCTTCCTCATGATGCCATCTATTTTGTGAAGTGCACCAGTCCCTCCTGCAGCAAAGCACCCCACACAGCATGATGCTGCCACCCCCGTGCTTCACGGTTGGGATGGTTTTCTTCGGCTTGCAAGGAACCCCTTTTTCTTCCAAACATAACGATGGTCATTATGGCCAAACAGTTCTATTTTTGTTTCATCAGACCAGAGGACATTTCTCCAAAAAGTACGATCTTTGTCCCCATGTGCAGTTGCAAACCGTAGTCTGGCTTTTTTATGGCGGTTTTGGAGCAGTTGCTTCTTCCTTGCTGAGCGGCCTTTCAAGGTTATGTCGAAATAGGACTAGTTTTACTGTGGATATAGATACTTTTGTATCTGTTTCCTCCAGCATCTTCACAAGGTCCTTTGCTGTTGTTCTGGGATTGATTTGCACTTTTTGCACCAAAGTACGTTCATCTCTAGGAGACAGAACGCATCTCCTTCCTGAGCGGTATGACGGCTGCGTGGTCCCATGGTGTTTATATTACGTACTATTGTTTGTACAGATGAACGTGGTACCTTCAGGCGTTTGGAAATTGTGGAGGTCTACAAATGGTTTTCTGAGGTCTTGGCTGATTCCTTTTGATTTTCCCATGATGTCAAGCAAAGAGGCACTGAGTTTGAAGGTAGGCCTTGAAATACATCCACAGGTACACCTCCAATTGACTCAAATTATGTCAATTAGCCTATCAGAAGCATCTAAAGCCATTACATCATTTTCTGGAATTTTCCAAGCTGTTTAAAGGCACAGTCAACTTAGTGTATGTAAACTTTTGACCCACTGGAATTGTGATACAGTGAATTATAAGTGAAATAATCTCTGTATGTCACGACTTCCGCAGAGGCTGCCTCCCCTCCTTGTTCGGGCATGTTTCGGCGTTCGGCGTCACCGGCTTACTAGCTACTGCCGATCCATTTATCATCACTCCATTTGTCTTGTCTTCAATCACACACACCTGGTCCTTATTCCCTCATTAGTCATTGTATAAGTGTTCCCTCTTTTCCTACTTGTCTGTGTGGGTGATTGTTTATTGTGGTTAGTGAAGCTCGGTGGAGCTCGTGTATTTTCCGTGTGCCTTGTATTTTCCAGTGCGCCTGTTTTTGTGCCCTTGAGTGTGTTTGACGCATTTCTGCGTAAACCTGTATTTTGCGGATTAAAGCCTGTTATTCTGTGATTTACCCTCCTGCGCCTGACTCCTTCAACACCCCCTCATCACAGAATCACCCACCCGCTATGGAGTCAGCGGGAGAGACGCGCATGCCTGGAGTCGTGGAGCATTCAACTATGCTAGCCAGCTTGGGTGAAGCGATGGATCGGGTTCTTCAGGTCATCCAACGCCTGGAGAGGAGAGAGCCCGATCCATCGAGACCAGCTGGCCAACCGGATCCCGCCACCTACTCCCCAGCACCCAGAGGGATCCAGATATCCCGACCACGGGAGTTCGACGGGACAGCGGCGCTGTGCCAAGGATTCCTTCTCCAGCTGGAGCTCTGCTTCTCCAGCATCCGGCCGGTCCCATCGGAGCGGGAGAAGGTGTCCGCCCTCGTCTCCTGCCTCTCGGGGAAAGCCCTGGAGTGTGCCAATGCGGTGTGGAACGAAGGAGGAGCCGCGTTGGAGAACTACGGGAGTTCGCTCGCCTCTTCCGGGCGGTCTTCGATCACCCGCCCGAGGGTTGAGAGGCGGGCGAGCGGCTGGTCCACCTGAGGCAGGGGACGAGGACTGCGCAGGACTTCGCATTGTAGTTTCGAACTCTGGCAGCTGGGTCCGGGTGGAATGAGCGGGCCCTGATCGACCATTTCCGGTGCCATCTGCGAGAGGACGTCCGACGGGAGCTAGCCTGCCTTGACACCATGTTGTCCTTCTCGCAACTGGTGGACATGGCCATTCGTTTGGACAACCTGCTGGTAACCAGAGGACGTCCTGGAGGAGGTCTGCCCGTTTCCATCCCGGCCGACTCGGATCCAGAACCGATGGAGATGGGTAGAACTGCTAGCCGAGAGAGCGGAGGACGACAGCTCCAGGGCCACACTGGTGGCGCAAAGGGACATTTCACCACACGTTTTCGTCAACACTCTTCTGGGGTTGGAGGTGGCAGGCAGGCAGGGCACTCTCACATCACCCAAGGTATCGAACACCCACACTCGTTCAGAGCCCTCTGCTGCGCACTGTAAAATACACATCTCCTTTCCTGAACACATGGTAGTTCCCCAGTGTAAGGCGCTAGTTGATTCAGGCGCAGCTGGGAACTTTATGGACAGGGCATTCACACACCGTATAGGCATTCCATTGATTCCCCTATCCATTCCACGCCCCATCAGAGCACTTGATAGTCGACCATTAGGGTCCGGGTTGGTTAAGGAAGTTACTGCACCAGTCACCATGATTACCCAGGAGACTCATTGTGAGCAGGTTACTTTTTCCATTATTGAGTCTCCTGCTTTCCCTGTGTTATTAGGTATCCCTTGGCTAGCACTCCATAACCCCACCTTCTCATGGCCGCAGAGGGTTCTCACGGGGTTGTCGCAAGAGTGTCAGGGTAGGTGTCTAGGTGTTTCCGTTGGTGCAACCACAGTGGAAAATCCTGACAGTACCTCCACCGTGCGCATTCCCCCTGAATACCTCGATCTGGCGCAAGCGTTCTCTAAAACGCAGGTGACTAAATTACCACCTCATCGGGCGGGGGATTGCGCGATAAACCTCCGGGTAGACGCTGTACCTCCCAGGAGTCATATATACCCCCTGTCACAGGCTGAAATGGTGGCTATGGAAACATTTGTCACGAGTCCCTGTGCCAGAGGTATATACGTCCCTCCACTTCACCCGCCTACTCGAGTTTCTTCTTTGTGAAGAAGAAGGACGGAGGTCTGCGCCCGTGCATTGATTATAGACCACTGAACAGGGAGACGATAAGATTGAGTTATCCTCTTCCCCTCATTCCTTCAGTGATTGAATCAATGCATGGGGCGTGCTTCTTCACCAAAGTAGATCTCAGGAGTGCGTACAACCTGGTGCGTATCCGAGAGGGAGATGAGTGGAAGACAGCATTCAGCACAACCACGGGGCATTATGAATACC